AAAAAAAAAAAAAAAAAAAAAAAAAAAAAAAATCTTAGTAAAACCAATACCTTCTCAGCTTCGCATCGAAGCTAAAATCTAAATGATAGCATACCCGAGTAGCAATTCGAGTTCATACCGGGTTTATTTAATATAGTAACAACAGTTCTGAACTCAGTTCAAAACCCGTTCATAGCACGGTTCAAAATGAGATTTGAATACGGATTTTAACATGAGGTGAACTGAGATCTACAATTGTTCAGTAAGAGTTCAAAGACCGTTCCTCGGTTCAGCTATAAAACGCTCGATAACAGTTCAAATCTAAAAAATGCATGTAGAAAGTAGAACTTTTTCAACTTAAATTTTGAAAGCGTTCCGGAAAGTCTGACACTTTTATATATATCTTAAATTAAAGCTAATGTAATATACTTTATTATGGAAAAAAAAAATTTCGGACTTTATTATAGTTAATAAATTTAAGTATAGAATAGAGCAAAGAACCATAATTATATCTATTCTTGTCATAATAGTCTTAGTAGTATAGAAATAGCGGGTACGGGCCCTCAAAGGTGCCGACAATGACGTCATCTATTGTTCTTAGAACAATGGGTCGCTATTGTTCTCGGAAAACAATAGGTGCGCTACGGGCCCTCAAAGGTGCCGACAAATGACGTCANCCATATAAAAAGTTGATATAAAGAGTATTAGAAGGTATATTGTAACAAAATTTAACATATATTAACGAGGTTAACTGTAACCGCACCAGTCAAAACTTTACACTAAGCAACGCTAGACCACCACAATCTTGTTGTTTATATTTTCAATATAGATAGACATATTTTTATGAAAATATTACTTTAATTTAATTTAATTTTCATACTGATTATTGTTTCTTTGATCTTACTGATTTACCAATAAACAGACATTTCTAGGAATATATACACTTTTTATGTACTTCTACACTTCAAATTGAGTAGAGAGAACTTGTGTGCATTACTTTCCATTCATATTTCATAATTTTATGAAAAAATTAAAAAAAAAAAATTCAGTTTACCATCATAAAAAGCATTATGTATTTACCTTCCATTTCACTAGAACCATTAGAAAAATTAGAACAGTTCAGCACCTTTCCACATTTTTGTAAAACAACTAATAATATGATATTTGCAATGAATATTACCTACAAAATAATGTTGAGTGAGACGTTAGCTTAAAAAAGTATTACCTTAAAGTATAAAAAGTATTAAAAGTATAAAGTGAAAGGGTTCTATTAATACGAATAAATAAATTATTAATATTTGTAAAATTTTATTTTTATTTGTTTCATGTACATTTATAAAATTAATATATAATTGCTATAATAAATATGTATTCATATATTACATTTAGAAATCATATAAATTTTGATCAGAATATAAATGAGGTAAGAAGAGTTCATTTTTGTTTTAAAATAATTTTTTAGAAATAAACACGTTGCCCTGAAAATATTTAAAAAAAACACAGCACAGTGGGGACGCGGCACAGTGGGAACATAGTGATGATTTGACGAATGATTTGAAAAAAAAAATGTCAACATCTCTAACAGCAAAAAAAAATAGTAATGTGAAAATAAAACAATTACCACTTA